CAGATTGAAATGTAGGAGTGGCTTGGGTAACAAAGTCCTGAGTAGCTTCAAATTGTCTGACACTACGCTGCGGATGATAGACCTGGATATTGTAGAATGGACATGAAAGGGTATAAAGTATATTAATCAAATATTGTTAAATGATAAAATCAAGCCATTCAAGCTAATAATCCAGGAATGTCAATTATCGTCAAAAGAATGGTTTAACTATTTGAGGATAAAAAACTTTCTTAAACAAAATCTCCTTCATAACCCTTGAGGGGGAATAGAAAGGTTAAGTGTATTATTAAATAATGAAATGGTAGGACAAGTTCCATCAAAAGCTAGCAGCAGGTTGTTAAAAATAGAAGCTCCTATCAAGAATATGATAGCCCAAAAATGGGAAAAAGAACTTAAAGTTAAAATCGTAAATGAAGAGTGGTGCCAGGTGTTATTTCAAACTAGTAAAATTATTCACTGTCTAAATATTTTAGAAGTAGTATTTAAGGTACTGAACAGGAGGTTTTAGAAGTAGTATTTAAGGTACTGAACAGATGGTACTGGGCCCATCTAAAATGGCAAAACAAAATATAATTCTAGCTCTCCGATATGTTGGAGATGCAATAAAGAGGAAGGGTCCTTTTTGCATGGGTGGTGGGATTGTGAGAAAGTGAAGGAATATTGGCTACTGGCTTTTCATGTACCAGAGAGATGAGGGGAAAAAAAATCTTAGAGGCCCACAAAACATATTATTGCAACTCAATATTCAAATGTTACAATTAAGGAGATATATATATGTACACTTTATGGCTGTAGCTAAATTAATCATTGCATGAAAATGGAAGTGCTCAGAGAAATTTTCATATAAACATCTAAAAATACAAGTTTTATATCAATTGAGGATGACAACTCTAATATTTACACCAAATCATAAAAATCTGGAGTTAGGTAAATCCTGGCTGGAGAAAATGGAGAATGAGGGAAGAAATACCCGAACAAAAGGTTTAAATTAAAGCAATTACATTATCGTCATAAATTAATGAGAGATTGACAGAATCACCCCACAAAAATCCCTAAAGGTGTCATTGTAAGTGTTGTACGTTGTATTGTTATTGTGAGCTGTTTCATTTTAAGATGGTTAAAAGCAGGACTGTGACCCTTGATGCAGTTGTTCCTTTTTGTATGGAAAGTTAAAAAAATAAAAATAAAAATAAATAAATAAAAGTAAGTTAAAAAAAAAAAAAAAAAAATAACTTTAATCCTGAGGTTTTGGATGGAGTGACCAGTCTGGGTGAAGTGATGGCCAATATCCGTTTACCTTGTGGATTTTAATTGAGTGTCTGTGTGGATTCATTCGGAGATGCAGCTTAAGGCCAGTTTCTCCAGTGTAGCAACCTTTATATATTATTATATACCGGCCTGAACATTTTTGATGGCTGCCCCAAGGCTACATTTTCTTTAAAAAAGTTCAGGATGTTTGTAAAAACAGACTATTCAAGAATGTTATAAATAATATGAATAGTTTGTTTATCCAAGGATAAATCTGCTTGCTATTATAGAGTTAAGATACATGTTTTCATTTACAGCATAAACACATGTATTTGGTTGATCTTGATGGTCTCTTATCTCAAATACTGCACAAGTACGGATTACTCATACAGTTAGTGTTTAGTGTTTTTTCCTATTTTACATGATGTGTATTGAACAAAGAGGCTTTTAATATCTTTTGATGATTATAGTTAAACATAGATTTCATTTTGAAAGCAAAATTCTTAAAAGGTAAATAAGATAAATAATAAAATAAATTAATCTACAGTGCCTTACAATGTTTAATAGTGATACAAATGAACTTTTGTTTTCTGACTACTCAGCTATCTTAATCTCAGTAACACTTTAATATGTACCTGTAAGCTTGAAGCAAAAGTATCTTGTAAACATTGATGAACACGGTTCGTAAGCTGTTCACCTATGAATTAAAATGTAAAACATATTTTAGTCAACAAATGTACAACAATAGTATTTAGTACAAATTACAATTAGAGATTCAGTTTTAGCAGAAAAGAGATTTTGCTGAATTTTGATTGATTAACAATTTGGCCAAATACCCAAATTCTAAGCCACAACATACCTAAATCTGTATGCAACCAAACAGTGCCTGTTTCAACTATTTGTCCATACAAGCCACCATTGAGCAAATAGCGAAAAACTGCTCTTGGGGATCACTATGATCTACACATTAGTACAAGGAAGGATTAAAGTATGCATTATCAGTTATCAACTCGTTTGCTTAGGAATTTTGTCTTCTCCTTAAGCCTCCAGACCAGTGCTACTACATCAGGATGTAGAGGACCACCTGGAATAATATCTTGGTTCTCAAGGAAGCAATCCATCTTGCTCCATAGATGGTTGAACATCGGTTGACTGGTCCCGGACTGAACTCAAGTTTTCAGTGCATTCCTGAATAGTTTAAGGACATTTGTGATTATTGGTGGAGACACAATATGTACTGGTCAGATGCCAGACTATGGATTGTCCTCAGCGTTCCTAACATCCTACAGCATCTCCAAAATAATTCTACTATATACTGACAAATCATCATAGATAGTGTGTGGGGAAACCTGTCTTCTTTTGATCCTGCCTCAAGAGTTGGCTAGCCTTTACACTGCTAGCAATCCTCCTACAACATTCAATTATAAAATAGCTGAGGAAGTTATGGCTCATACTGTTGATGGTGAGATGATACAGCACTCTCTCTTTGCTGACTTCTTTCCTGCAAAGTTTGAACTTTGCAAATCGCCCATCTCCAATGCTTTCAACATAGTCTCGAAATCAGGTACAGATGTTGCTAGTAGTACCAGTGGTGATGATTGTTAGCACAGTTACACTTGTGGTAGTAACTTTGTCATTGTGAGTATAAGTTGTGAGCATTTTAGATTTTGCAGAAATATGTGGTTCACTACGGGTTGAAACAGCACTAACAGGTGCTTCTAATTGAAGAAAGTTGAGAGGCAGGGCAAAACTGCACACTAGTTACATGAAAAAAACTGCTCCCTGAAGAATCCTCTTTCTCCTCTAATATCTCCTCCTCATCCTCTGGCTCATAGTCAAGTTCTTCATGATCTACACTACATGCAATTCCACGAGACTGGAGGCTGAGAGTGATATCACCTTCAGGAAGAACAGATAATGCTGATACTTGTAAAGCAATATAACCTGTCTCTACCTCAGTAGTTTATAGCATAATTGGAGTACTAAAACTTAAAAAATTTTGGGTGCTAAAAAGTACATTAGTGGAGTGCACTTCATATCTGAGTCAAATAGAAGCGTCAGATACTGCTGTCACATTGCAGTTATGAAACTTAAAATTATTTGGGTGCTAAACTGCTAAATTGTATTTTAGTGGGGTGCACTTCATATCTGAGAGTCAAATCGAAGCGTCTAATAGTGTGCTTACAGCGCAGTTGCAAAAATTCAAATTTTCTGGGTGCTAATCTGCTAAATAGTAAATTTTGGGGCCTGCGGTGCACTTCATATCTGAGAGTCAAATCGGAGCATCTAATAGTGTGCTTACAGCGCAGTTGTAAAAAGTCACATTTTTTGGGTGCTAATCTGCTAAATAGTACATTTTGTGGCCTGCTATTCATATATGAGAGTCAAATAGAAGTGTCTAATACTGCGGTTACAGCACAATTGTAAACATTCTAATTGCTTTGGTGCTAAACTGCTAAATAGTACTTTTTGGGGCCTGCTCTTCATATCTGAGAGTCAAATAGAAGCGTCTAATAGTGTGCTTACAGCGCAGTTGTACAAATTCTAATTGATTTGCTGCTAATCTGCTACTTACATTGGAGTTATAAAAAGTAATTTAAAAAAAAAAAATGGTGCTAAGTAGTATATTTGGGGTGTTCACTTCATATCAGAGTCAAATCAAAGCGTAACTTTGATTCAAATTTACTACATCGGTCACTGGTAATATTGTTTCACACCTACAACACTTGTTACACAGATCAAAGTGATAGAAAACAGATTGATATTTTCTACACTAAAAAGCTGCTATATTTAAACCAGTTATCAATAACTAAGAGGTACTTAACCCCTTAAGGACCAAACTTCTGGAATAAAAGGGAATCATGACATGTCACATATGTCCTTAAGGGGTTAAACAGTATTGTAATTCTGGGGCATATTTCCTCACAAGTCAAACTGAGAGGTCAGTTTATAGGGAAAACCTGGATACAATTCTAAAACAATTTACATATGTCCTTTGTAGACTTTACATGCTGGAAAAACACAGGTGCCAACTGCTGTGGCTTTCTGCAGTGTGCATACCAGCAAGGAGGGCAGAGTTGAGGAGTGGGTGGAAGATGATGTGGTCCTAGACCCCACATGGAATGAAGGTCATGCGAGTGATGTGTGCAGTTTGGAGGAAGAGGCTCTGGTCACACAGAGGCACTAGCACAGCATAAGAGGGAGCAGTGTGCAAAAGCAGAGCGGCAGTCCCCTAGCGCTCGTCGGCATGTATTAGCTCGAGAATTACCAGTTATCCAAGTAATACATGTAGCTATCAAAGGATCTATAATAGAGTTGAGCGAACCCGAACTGCAAAGTTCGGGTTCGTACCAGCTATAATGATCCATTCGTAGTTTCACAGTCAGGTGGGCAGTCCAGTGACCAAGACCCAGACACTGTCTGAGCGGCGGTCGGACGGCCGGGACCCACTATGCCTGATGTTGAAGTTAGGAGTCACAGTGTGGAATTAGCAGGGTCTGGTGCAGGCTAACTGCATGCCACCTGGTTTGAGCACCAGCGTTTGTGCGGCCACATACCAGGACCTTGATGCAGCTTCAGTAAAAAGAGTACTGAATACCAGAAGCCATCACCAGACTGATCCGCAACTTGGAACAGGATGTGACATTCATTGTAGCGGCTGTGCGCACTTTTGGTGTTGTCACCCTGCTGCTGCCGCGTAACTTCGGCCTTCCCGCTCACTGCCTCATGAGACTGTGCGAGCAGCAGCAGGCGATAGTGGAGTTTCAGCTGCAGCACACACGGGTCAGTGGCTCTGCACCAGACTTCACTCCAATTGATCTGAGTTAAAGGATTTCAAGTGGGCCCATTACAATTACAGGGCCTCTAAAGAGTCCTGTATTGTTATTTGTCGTCACTACCTTCCCGCGTCAGGAGTGGGTCTTTTCCATGCATGTGGCAGCCGTTTCTCAGGGTCCCTGTACGGAATGGAACCCTGATTCCTCATTACCCGTGGTCACCATGGTAAGCGCAGAAACTGGCATCGAAAGTTGGTATGGATGACATCTGCATGCAAAGTTGCCACCACGGGGATGTGCGATTGGCCCGAGGTTCTCTAGAGTCAAAAAGTGCTGGCGCAACTATAATGTCAACAGCTCCTCTGCAGAACAGAGTTGTCTTTTTTATATGTCCCAATATTTTTGGGGCTACACCAATTAAAAAATAATTTAAGAAAATAAATATATATATATATATATATATATATATATATATATATATATAAATATAAATGTGTTGGCTACCTCATCCTGCTCCTACACCGCCACGGTCACCGCCTCCTCAACCTATGGGTCACTTAGTATAAACTAGGTACACATTAGCAGAGGCTTGTGAAGGCCCTTTCTCCATGCACCAGGACTGCAAGAAATGCACAGCAGGCCGCAAATGTTTCTTTTTTTTTGTATGTCCCAATATTTTGGGGGCTACCCCAATAAAAAAAAAAAAAACAAACAAACAAAAAAAAAACATAAAACACAGTGTTGGCTACCTCATCCTCCTCCTACACCGCCATGGTCACCGCCTCATCAACCTATGGGTCACTTAGTATAAACTATGTACACAATAGCAGAGGCTTGTGAAGGCCTTTTCTCCATGCATCAGGAGTTGAGCATTTCCCCATGCATCAGGAGTGCAAGAAATGCAAATCAGGCCCAATATTTTGTGGGCTACCTCAATTAAAAAAATAAATAAAATTAAAATTAAATAAATAAATATATAAATAAATAAACACATATATATATATATATATATATATATATAAACAGTGTTTACCTCCTCCTCCTCCTCCTCCTCCACCACCTCTCTCAAATGGATAATTCTGGTGATCCTCCTGACAGCCATGCTTTATATACATTTTTTTTTTTTTTAATTTGACAATTTTTATTGGACAGTACAAGCATGCATGTCTGATCTACAACAGTGCTTAAATACATTCTCGATTACCAACAACAGCGTCTTACAATACATGCAAGGAGTTTCGTTGTTCCTCTCAGAATTCCCTGCGTGACTATTTCACGGGGATTTTTCCTCAAGTATTGTGTTGTGCTGCACTTTCTTCAGCACTGCTGCCGATCAGTGGAGATGGGGTGCCGGATCTGCTGCTTAACTAGGTGTACTGTACCTTTGAGGGTAGGTGGAGGGGGAGAAAGGGGGGGGGGGAGACTGGGGCTGGTGCAGGGTGGGTTAGATAACTGGGGTAGTGAGACTTTCTGTTGGTTCTACGTGTTGCTGTGCATTTCTATCTATTCCTTTAGATGCTCCAGGTAAGATTTCCACCATTCGTGTGCTTGTCCCATGTGGTTCTTTAATCCAAATTGGTGTGCATATATAATTTCGTGGCTCCAATTTAGTTTAATCTGGTTTATGAGGGTAACCCGGTTCGGGACTGTCTTTTGTTTCCAGAGTCTAGCTATGCATATGGCTGCCGAGATAAGGACATGGTAGACCAGTGCCCAATTATTTTTGGGCATGTGATCCGGGGGTATAAACAAAATGCATAATTCGAGTGTTAGTGATGTTTTGGTTTGTATGAGGTCTGTAATGATTTTTTGGACTTCCCCCCAGTAGGGTTTTAGTTCATCGCAGGACCACCAGATATGTGTCATTGTGCCTTTGGCATGGTCGCATCTCCAGCATTCGTCTGAGGATGCCGGCCACATCTGGTGTATCCTAGTGGGGACTAGATACCAGCGATACATTAGTTTTCGCTGTAGTTCAATCTGGGTGGCACATGCGGTAACGCTTTTGTGTGTTGAGTAAGCTTTTCTGTTGCTATGCTCTTTATGCCACGCCTGTATGTGTGTCTTTCCCCTGGTCTGTCCCTTGGGTTAAGGCTTTGTAGCACATGGAAATCACTTTTTGGGGTGGTTTTCTGTGAGTGCAGATCAGTTCAAAATCAGACATGTGTGTATTGGGAGGGGGGGGGGGTTTGAAGCTCGTTGGGTTTACTTTTTGTGAGGTATGATTTTAATTGTAGGTAAGGGAATAGTAACCTACGTGGGAGGTTGAATTCTCGTATGTCTGTAAAGGGCTTTATTTTTCTATTGTTGAAGACTTGCCTTATCTCTTGGATGCCTTCTTGTGCCCATAGTTGTGTGTTTAAGGTGGGGATTACTGGTTCTATGGCAGACAGTGGGGCGGCCATTGGCATTGGTAGAAATTTCACTAGTTGGTGTTTGGCTAAATCCCATTGTAGTAGGTTGTGTTGTGTCGTGGGCAAAAGATGGGTGGTTTCTTGCCTGTAGTGTCTGGGTGTCCAGAAAAGTGAGTGTAGGGTTAGGGGCTTGGCCCAGGCAGCTTCTATTTCTAGCCACTGAGGTGAGGAAGGGTGTGCCCTCAATTGTAGTACTATTGTTAGGGCTGCCGCTTTGTGGTATGCTGCTATATCTGGTAGGCCCTGCCCTCCTCGGGATATTGATCTCTGTAGTAATTTTGTGGCGACTCTGGGTTTTTTATATTGCCATGTAAAGTTGGTAATGAGTTTTGTTAGGCTTTTGATGTAGTTTCCTGGTAGAGGTATGTGTAATGTTCTGTATAGGTATTGCAATTTCGGTAATAGGGACATTTTAACCGCTGCTATGCGTCCTACCCATGATAGGTATTTCCCCTCCCATGATTCCAAGGTAGTTTTGAAAGTTGTTAGCAAGGGATTATAGTTTGCTTTGAATAGTGAGATTGGGTTTTTGGTAATTTTTATTCCTAAAAATGTCAGATGATCTTCTCTCCAATCTAAAGGAAATGAGTTCTTGAGGATTTCTAGTTGTGAATGTGGTATGTTGATGCTAAGTGCTTGAATTTTGGTAACATTTAGTTTGTAATAGGAGACTCGCCCGAATGCTGTGATGTGGTGCATGAGGTTCGGCAGGGAGATTTGTGGTTGTGTGAGAGTCAGGAAAATGTCATCCACAAAGATGCTTAACTTATATTCCTTCTGGTTCAGAGGAATTCCGTGGATCGCCGTTTCCGCTCATATTTTGGCTGTCAGCGGTTCCAACGCTAACACATACAATAATGGGGAGAGTGGGCACCCCTGTCGGGATCTGTTGGTTATAGTGAAGGTTTCCGAGCAGAAACCTGCGTTGAGTACTTTCGCTGTTGGTGTGCTGTATAGTGCCACTACTGTATCTGTGGATTGGTGGGGAAAGCCAAATTTGTCAAGTACTGCTTTGAGAAAGCTTCAATTAAGTCTATCAAAGGCTTTCTCCGCATCTAGTGATAGTAATAGGCCACACACCCCCTTCCTCCGTATACTGTGAATTAGATCTAAGACCTTTCGAGTGTTGTCTGCTCCCTGTCTCACTGTGATGAATCCCACCTGGTCGTTGTGAATGAGGGATGGTAGAATCTTTCCTATTCTGCGGGCATAGATTTTTGCAAATAGCTTGGTGTCTGTGTTGAGAAGGGATATTGGTCTAAAATTCGGGCAATGGGTTGGGGGTTTGCCCGGTTTGAGGAGTGTTATGATGTGCGCTAGTAGGAATTCTGCTGGGAGCAACTTTTCTCGGGTGGCAGAGTTGAATAATGTTGCAAGGGGTAGTGCTAGTTTAGAGGATTTCCTATAATAAATGTTTGTGAAGCCGTCTGGACCTGGTGCTTTTTGTTTAGGCAGGGTGCGTATGGCTTCCTCCACCTCTGATGCAGAGACAGGGTATTGTATGGAGTCTACTGGGTCTTGGGAAAGTGTGGGCAGCGGAATGTCATGTAGGTAGGACTCTATATCTTGTTTTCTTGGGTTTTGTAGCTGGCTGGAGGTTGTGAGGTTATAAAGCTCATTGTAGAAGGCAGCAAATGTGTTACTGATGTCTATGGGGGAGATTACTTTTTTTGTTATCATGTGTTATTATATGTGGTATTTTTGCGTTTATTTCTACCCTTTTTAGTCTGGTTGCTAGGGCTTTGCTGGCTTTGTTCCCTTGTGCGTACTTTGTGGCTTTGAGCTTGCGTAAATTATACCCTACTCGTTGTAGTGTGTGTGTTTTGATTTTTTCTGTAATTTCCCCAATTGCCTTCTGTGTGGCCAGCGATGGGTGTGTTTTGTTTTCGTTGGTGAGATCCATTAGTTGTTTGTGCCATGCTAACCATTGTGTTCTGTTGGTGTGTTTTAGGTATGATGCTCGTCTAATTAGGAGCCCCCTGACTACCGCTTTGTGCATCTGCCATATGGTGCTTGCTGATATGTCACCGGTGTCGTTTAGTTGAAAATATTCTGTGATGGCTTCTTCTAGTTGTTTTGTAAAAGGGAGGTCCGTCAATAGCGATTCGTTTAGTCTCCATGGGCTTTTGTGCTTGTAATCATAATTGTCTTTTAGGGTGAGGGTAGTTGGGGCGTGGTCCGACCATGTTATGTGGCCTATAGTGCAATCTAGAACTTGGTCTATGTGTTGGTTTTCAATATGGAATCTATCAATTCTAGTGTATGTGTTGTGTGTGGAGGAATAGTACGTGTAGTCTCTATCTTGTGGGTGGAGGACTCTCCAAGCGTCATATAGCTGATGCTCCTCAAGCAGCTTAGTATAGTTTTTGCATGCTTTATGTTGTTTGGACTGGGTGGGTTTTGGGGTTTGGGTGGTCGAAGACTAGTATTCCTTCCTCTTTGTGTTGGAGCAGGGTGAGAATTTTGTGAAGAAAATGCCTCTGTTTTGCATTTGGGGCGTATACATTGGCTAAAGTGTATTTAGTGTTGTTTATTGTGCATCAACAAGTGATGAGTGGTATTGGAAGGATACTGTGGAGTTAACCAGTATTGATGTTCCTCTTGTTTTTTTCCCCGTGGTGGCGTGGTATTGGTGAGGGTATTTAGATGGTCGTATGGATGGTGGAGTCTTAAAATGCGTTTCTTGAAGGCATATGACGTCGGGCTGGTCCCTTTTGAGATCTCTATGTAGGCAGTGTCTTTTATATGGGGTGTTCAGCCCTCTAACATTGTAACTTTGTATCTTCATAATTTGGTGCAGTGTCTTGTGTTGCTACAGTAGGTTCGTGTGTTGTTTGCGTTTCTAGTGTTAGGTCTTTTCGGCTGGCTGTCAGGTTTTGTGTTGGTTTGGAGCACTGCTTCTTTTTTGTTTTTGGGAGCTTTCTGTGGTCTTATTTGTGGTGCGGTGAAAGTGCCCGGTTGGGCAGGTAAGGGTTGTTTAAATCTCGCAAGGGTTGTTTAAATCTCGCAAGGGTATGGGGGTGGGTGTGGTGGAGTTGTGAAGCAGAGTGTCACACTGTGAGTGTGTGAGAACCAAAGGAAACAATGGTGTAACCC